CTAATATCTTTTTACATCACATTCATTACTAGTTCAAATTAATGTTAGAGGATATGTCTCCATTTGTATTTGAATTCTTGACTGCACATGCTGCTTTAAATGGATGTATTTTTCCCTCAGCTTCACCAATGACCTCGATGGTCATGTGTCCCGACCACCCTGGTTTGACCTTTAACATTAGTCTTGTGAGGAACGAGCCAACCTACAACCAGCCCATCCAGCAGTGGACATTTGTGTCTGATTTTGCTGTAAGTAAACAAATTAGTTGTCCAATTGAATTGGGTTTTTTTACAACTCCTTCTTGCTTTAAACGTGATTTCCCTTCTCAGGTGCGTGACTACTCTGGCACATACACAGTGAAGCTGGTCCCCTGCACATCCCCCCCCAGCCTGGAGTACACCATCCCCCCCGTCTGCAATCCCAGGGAGCCGCTTACCTTCGACATGGACATCCGCTTTCAGCAGGTGACCTCAACTTGCCTAAAAGCAGACAGGAAAAATTGGAAAACTTTAAAAACTCCAAAACATCCACAAAGAGCAAACAAACAAAGGAAGTGAACTTACATTACCTGCTGTAGCCTTCACTTGATTTGCAGTCCTCTGCTTAATAGTCATAATCCTGAAGTCATACTGATTTACTTGTTCGTATCAGATCAGGGAAAAACAGCCAAAAGAGACTAAATGTTTCTCGCCTTCTAAACTAAAGGGCGCTCCTACCAGCCCAAACTATTCTCTGCCATTTTATCCCCAGACCACTTCCCCTTAACCCTGTGATTCTGGGGAAACCGATCACATGACCATTGTGATCTTAATGCATGGCAAATCAGAAAAGGCGCCACCCTATGAATCTTTATTACTTCCTGTGAGCCAAACATCTTAACTCCTATTTAGTCATGAGATGTTTCTTGAGATGCTTTCTTAAGACTTTAACTCTTTCCCCTTATACTGAACAAATCCAAATCTCTAACCCTTGTAATGTGTTGGTCTGTCTTCTATATGTGTGCAGGTGAGCGACCCCGTGGCTGCTGAGTTCAGCCTGAACACACAGATGATCCTACTCTCCAAGCGGACGCTTTGGCTCTCGGACGGCTCCATGGGCTTCGGGCAGGAGACCGACACCTCCTTCTCACAGGGTTAGTAACATGGAGTCACGAAATACATAATGTTCATGAGCGCTTATGGATTAAAGAAAAAACCCTAAACAAACAGGGCTTCATAGTTAATGAAATTCCATGGATTCATTTCCCAGATCCTTCGACCACTGATTATTAACACGGATGATTCTTCGGACAAAATTTAAATCACCGGATGATGAGTGTTTGTGTTGATTTAACCGAAATGTTCACCATTATTCCCTGACCTTACAGCATACAATTTAAGTATAATTTTGACCACTTTAATGTTTTCTCCCAAATTTGACCACTTTAATGGTTTCTCTCTTACTACGAGAGCCTGAGTTTGATTTTTTGAAACAACCTCTTGAAGGTTTTTGACATGTTTTTTCATGCTTTTGTTGTCAGAGCAAAATAAAATAGTTTGACAAATCTTAATCAGTGTACGTAATAAACCTTCCATGTCGTGTGTTTTACATTGTTGAAAACTGTACTCCTCTTGCCTCAGGGGATACGATTTACGGAAGAGTAATGGTGGATCCGGTGCAGAATTTGGGCGACTCCTTCATCTGTAACATAGAGAAAGTGTTCCTGTGTACCGGCGCTGATGGGTACGTCCCTAAATACAACCCCACCAACTTTGAGTTCGGCTGTCTGGCCGACGCTCCGTCACTTCTCTACAGATTCAAGATAATTGTAAGTAACAAAAAAAGGTATACCTCGTCACGTGCTTGGTGTCCATTCAAACCTAAATGTTTCTCCCTGTGTCACTACAGGACAAGGCCCAGCCAGAGACCCAGGCCCGCTCATTTGGCAACGTGGCTTTCGATGCCTTGCTGGCGGTGGACGACTCTGGCGCTTTAGCTCTAGTGAGACAACCTGCATCAGACGGTTTCAGAATTGATTCCTCAGCTCTCTTCCAGGTCAGTGTAAAGAAACACATGCAGCCAATGTCCACATTCTCATATATAACCAATCTGGGGTGCGCGATAGAGGTTATTTTTGGGGCTGTTGTTTACATTTTTGTGCGGGCCACTTATTTCAGCGTGGGATATAACTCTGGTGTGAACTTGTGGCGCCCTGCTGAGACCAAGTGGGCAAATTAAAACTTATGTGCACCGTATGAAAAAAAATCCCAGAAAGTGACCTTCAAAAATGCTGTTTTCTTCTTAACAAGGCGAGAGAAAATAGACTCAGTGACATTACACCTTAATCTGCGTTATTACGTACATTATTGCGAGTGAGGAATCCCGTCACTGTGTGGGTTGACCTTAAACATGGCCTCCGATCACAAGTTCATATGTGACTCAGACCCTCTATTACCAAGAATCCAGTCTTGGCTCATTAGAGAGAGAAAGTCAGATACAGAAATGAGAAATATATATATATATATATATATATATATATATTTTTTTTTAAATAAGTGTTATTACTTTCTCCAGGTCTCCGCGGGGAGAGAGTGGTTCATTCACACCATCTACACCGTTCGTTCCCGCGCCAACGCCAACCGTGGCATCGGGAAGAGGAGCCTAGAGCACCATGCAATGAGCCGGCACGCAAATCCGCTTCCAAATGCTCCACATCGCACCAGAAGATCAGCCACCGGAGGGGCAGACGTCGTAGAGGAGATCGGTCAGAGTAACAATCGCGGCACCAACATCCTCCACATCGCGCTGGACCGCAGCAGCCAGCGGAGGACGAGCCCGGAGAGGGAGATCTTCACCAAAGGCAACGTCCCCCGTGAGCTCAACCAGAGAGACGACGGCGATGATGGACTAGTGTTGATCATCGGCGTCTTTGTTGGGCTGCTCCTCACGGCGCTCCTCGTCCTCGCCGTGGTGCTACTGGTCCGGTCCAAGCGCGAGAAGAAGAACGACAAACCCAAGAGCTCCAGCAGCGCAGAACCTATGATGACGCAAGCCCTCAGTGACAGCTCAGAGGTCTAACAGACAGGCCGATGATTGAGAGTTTTAGTTGATTTTTTTTTTGTTTGTTTTGCAAGTGCCTCACATTTAGACAGATTGTGCGTGAAGCAACAGAAACTACAAGAGCTTTGTTTTTGTTTTTTTGTTCACAAATCTACTTGAAATACTGCATCTCTTCCACAGCCGGAAGGTGATCCGGACACTAACTTGGCGACGGACTTTTATAAGCAGCTATTTCAAGGCACCAGTCAAGTTGTTAGCACTCGCTTACTGATTTGCTTTTGATGCCACTTGATCCAAAAAAGGTGTTATTTTAAGTTTCCAAAGGTGCTACAGAAGATGCCTCTTGAGTGGCATTTGGTGTTTAACTGAGTAGGTCAAGATGCGGAGGATGTTTTGCATACTGTAGTAGTTGTTACCAACAGGCTTCGTATCTTTAATTTGCTGCATCGAGACACTGCCCATAGTTTGCTCCCTGTGGGTTCTTATGGAGGACGGTTCGTCCTTAGATTCAGTGCGTGCCTAAAAGAATCACAGAATTCTGAGGTTTTATGATGTATGTTACAGTATATTTTGTCCCGTGTGATCAGTAAGACATCCACTGTGTATTGTGCTCATGTTTTTGCATGCATTTATTTTTGTATTTTAAGACTGTTTGTAAAAAGAATCTAAAAATCTAAAGATCTACTGTATTTCCACCAGTTTTACTGTGAGTGTATCCCATGAATAGCGGTATTCATCAATGGCCAATCAAATCCCCTCTAGTATTTAGTTGTTGACACACTGTGTGGTTTTGAGATAATGCTTATTGACATGGCACTAGCAACAAGTGACTGTTAAGAGTCTGTCCTATTACATTTACTATTGAGACAGCTGGTCTGCGAGGAACTATTTTCACTCTTGGCACTACAGGTGATCACTACATTTTGATCTTTTGATGTACAGCAGGTAAGTAAAGATTAATTGGACTCCACAGCCTTCTTCCAGCAGTACGAGGTGTTGTGTGCGTTTTTGTTGATTCGCTTTTAAACCTTGAAATATTGTCTAATAGGTTTAGCAGATTTCACATAAAGGGAATTAAATCATTTAACCTCAATCAACGTAATTATTGTCCAAACCGATGTCTTCTCCCTGACTCCCTAGTTTTGGTTTATTTATTTCTAAATCCTTGTCATTTCGTCCTGACGCAAACGATACATCATTAACTCCCATTTTATTTTTGCTTCAAACACATTTTTTCAAACTGTATAACTGTTTGTTATTTGGATTTCAACATATAATAGATTTTCTTTTCTCGATCCAATCACGATTGCCATAAAATTTGATTACCTCGAAAACTGTTTGACGCTTCAAAGTCATTGCTTTATTTTATTTTTAATTAAAACCTATTCTATGCAGCCTGTATTATCATACCTTAATGAAATGTTACCCCAAGTATGATTTTTTTCAATGCAAAATGTGCTTGCTTATCTACGTTTGAAACTGTATCAGTAATGTGGTTATTTTTTTCCAATAATGCTTTGAGTGCATTCTGAACGCTTTTCATGCTATATACATATGTGTAACATTATATATATCTATATATATATATATAGATATATATATAGGCTATAAATATATACACCATTTGGATGTTTTGGGAATGGTTGTTAAAAAACGCATACTGTACGTGCTGTAAGTATTTGTAACATAGACCAGAAGCACAGCGTGGTCTGCAAATAAATAATTTTTCAAGATATTGCAGGTTTTGGTTGTAGCTTGAAGCTGTTATTCAAAAGTATTGTAGATGCCTTTGACCAAATATACACCAGTTCTTTCTTCAACATTTGCTATAGTGGAGACACTGTGTCTCCCAAACATTTCATTCCTTATCACCGCCACTCAGTGATTAAGTTCAACATGCAAATTTAAACACAGATCCAATTCCCCTCAGTGCAAATCCAGCATAAAAACTAGATAAACAGTTCAGTAAACCATGTGCTTTTATTACCAGTGCATATCCATAGAGAAATCCAAATGTGTATTGGTGAGACAGAGCGCAGTGTAAAATGCTTCAGAGACCAAAGGTGAGCCTTTGTCTCTCTAGAGATGTCTGGCATTCCGTTTGGCAACAAGTCAAACAACAGATCAGGTGCATGAAGAACTAGAGCATCCTGGCTGACTCAACGGGTGAGTCGGGTCACATCCTGTTGATCGGGACATCACTGCCTCAGGGAGGTGAATGTTGGGAGTTTGGGTGTAGAGCACAGTGCAAACCAGGAAGTCGCCCTTTTCTCACACTTTTGCTGCGGCACTCGCTTTCCTTTGGACGTTACGAAGAACTAACACAAGGGGGCGCGAGAGCGGCCTCCGCCCTGCCGACGCAGCTTCTTCAGTCGCTCATGGCTTGATGTCGCGCAGGCAGAAACTCAGAAATAACGTTATCAAACAACAGTATCATATTTGAGTGAATTCTCAGGCAGAAAAGAGTTTGCTGACAAATGTCATCTAATGAACTATCAAATATGTATCAAACTGTTTCCTACTGTATGTAAAGGCCAAAAAGAAGAGAAAACACTGTAAAACAGAATTCATATGCCCTCTGGGTCAATTTCATGGTTTTAGATTTTAGACTTATTTTCACAAATTAACAATTTTCTCACACCATTGAAAGCGGATACATGAAAAAAAAAAAGAACGTGTCAAATTGTTCCATTGAGGTGCTAATCGAATTTGGATGTAGTTCCTGAGAAAAGTCTTCATTCTGGTTTATAACTGTTGAATAAAGCTCTTTAATTATCAAAAGCTATGAGCACATTTCCTCAGCCATAAACGTTAAATAGAAAACCTTTTTGTAAAACATCCCAAACAAAGATGGGTTTATGGCTTTGAGAAAGAGCTGCCGGAGTGCACAAACACTGATCAACATTTTCCTTTTGTGCAAGAGGGGCGGGGGGGTAGTTGGGGTTGGGGCACTGAATTCTGTTTTAAGGTGCGAACCTCCAAAGAAAAAAAGCACATCAATTTAGAAAAATAATTTGTAAATGCTGTGCTAGTGTATAAAAAAATTTAAATTTAAATTATGTTTTTGTCTTTATTTTTTTCCTTTTAAAACAACATATATTAACAAAAAAGATTATTGTGCTGCTTACATTAGCAATAAATATGACACTCTTCAAAAAACACTTTTAAACAGCGGCTTAACATCCTGAAAACCTAAACTGCTGCTCTCTGAATAGCCAAAAGGCTGTGTTTTAAAATCATAGCACATACATAGGGCGTGATCTAATATACACAATATACATTTATGTATATACAGTACATACAGCAAATCAATGCACAGATGGTGATGACTTTTGTTTATGGGAGATGTCAATAACTGAGAAATTTTACATTTCATTGCTGGAGAAGCGCTGTTCATTTCACTGCAAGCATTAACTAGTTTGTGAGAAAAGCAACCGATAAGTACACTGTGTCATTGCCTAGTCATTAAGATAAAATAAAACTTCATGCATTTGGACAAGTTATGGCTCTTTAAATACTTCAACCTATATCCTACCCTGTCCGGTCTCACAGAAAATGTGGTTGAATAATACCATCAACAGCGTACAATGCACAAAAAATGCCTTTGGACAAAAGCTGTCCATAGCTTGAATTCCATTACTTGTCTGAAGGATGCTACATTATCCAACTTTACAAACAACCTTCAATACACATCAAACGGGGGTTAAACTAATTAGTTCGCACCCGGTGGAGAACATTGGTGGGGTCGTTGTCAGTGCTTGCAGTGGCCGAGGCGGCGGTCTACTGCAGGTAGCGGTAGACTTTGAAGCAGTGGTTCCCAGAGTCCGCCACCGCCACATGCCCATCAGATGTGAGGGCCAGCCCCTGAGGGCCGTACAGGGGGTCCGCCGATGTGTTGATATAGGACAGGAAGGACCCGGAGCTGTCGAACACCTGGTTTGTCACACAGTACAGAGGGATGGGAAGGTGAGAGACTTACGAGTTTGCTCGCTGCATTCGACATGTTGTAGTTTTCTCAAGCTAACCTGGATACGACTGTTGCCCCAGTCAGCAACAATGATATTTCCGTTGGCATCCACAGCAACGCCTGTGGGAGCATTGAACTGGCCGTTCCCTTCTCCGTGGGAGCCGAATTTAAAGAGGAACTCCCCATCTGCGTTGTACACCTGCACAAGAGATTTAACAGGGAAGAGAATGGAAAAACAGTTCCACATAAAGCACATATGTTAAACAAGCTAAAGGGCATATTGCTAAAATTATTAAATTATGTTATTTTTTCTGACATTTGTTTGAAACCGAGTCATTATTAAATGCGTGCTTGTCTATTTCAATTGTTTCATGCGCAAAAAAATGGCAGCCATGGTTATTTATAAGTAACCTAGCAACTTATTTAGATTACTAAATTTAAAAGAAAAAAAAAAATGGGGTGAGAGTCTGTCTGATATTTTTACAACAAGACGTTTATCCACAATACTTCCAATGCAGGTTTACAACAATAAAGAATGTACGCCATACCTTTACTGAATGGTTATGAAAGTCTGTTACCACAATTTCATTTTTGTTATTTACGGCCACAAAGTGAGGACCTGGAAGCAGCAGAGGAGATGAGAAAAGATGAATCATTGTCATCTTTACAACATTTGAGAAGAAGTGCCACAGTATTTTGGGACCAGGACACAGAGGTACTTTGAGAGTTAACGGGAGACAATACGGGAGACTTGACAGAGCTGAAGCATTAACATATAAAAAGAACATTTATTTGTAGTTCATATTCACATTGAATTAGTTACTTACTGAAAACAGGGCCAGATTTACTGAGCTTTTGTTCCAGTGCAATGTTTGCACCACTTTTTTCTAAAAGAAAAGAAAGGGTCCATGAGAGATATTCAATTGAAAAAAGGGTTTTCACTGAAATACTGAAATATCAACAACTGAAGTTATATACACAAGGGATTCCAGTTACAAAGAAACATTGAGGTCACTTAATAAATCAGATATGTACAAATTTACATTTCTGTAAAGCATTGATGATGAATAAAATCTGTAAATGTGGCCCAACCTCATGCCATAAAACATGTTGCGTATCCAGTCTTACTGTAAGAGACACTGTTAATTAAATGATCATAGGTACTTGTGCCAAGCATAACACGGTACCTGCAAAGTGTCTGTCTGATGTTCCTCTGGCTCCAAACTTTGTCACCAGCTTCCCGTTTGATTGGAAGATGAAGACACAGCAGGCCTTATTATCTACCGTGATGATATGTCCATTCTTATCCACGGCCACACCTTTGGGCCCCATCAGTCTCCCTGCTCCGATTTTGCTCTGTGGCAACCAGAGGGACGCCGTAGTAATTCAAAGGAACGTTCTGAATTTGTGCAGTAAAAACATTCTTCTTGGTTAAGATCACTTACCTTGAACTTGCCATCGGAGGAGAAGATGCTGATCCATCGGTTATCGTAATCAGCAACAATTATGTCGCCATTCACGTCCACCGTGACCCCGGTGGGCCTCTGCAACTGCCCAGGGGAACGACCTCTGACCCCAAACCGCATCTTAAACAGGCCATCATTTGAGAATACCTACAAAAAAAGAAAAATAATTTACATAAATTTGGAAAAAGCTACATAATTCCCTACATTTATATTTCACACCAAGAGAATGACACTGACCTGTATACACTGGTTGTTGCTGTCTGCCACAACAATCCGTCCATTACTGGAGGTGGAGATGCCTTGTAGGTTAGTGAACTCTCCTTTATCTCGCCCTCTTGTTCCTATTGCATCAACAAGACATCAGGCCGCATCAGCAATATGCGTGTAAAAGAAATGCACACATTGGTTCTCTGATCTCTTAAAATGTTTAGCTTCTGTTGGACATTTTATATATTAAACATCATCAGGGACTAATTATCTAATCTAATTATCTAATCATCTAGAGCAGCGGTTCCCAAACTCAAGAATGCCGCGGCCCAATCTGAAATCTGAAAATCTTTTGCGGCCCACCCAAACCTTTAATCTCAACTCTGATCAAAACATAAACTAGGGATGATTAACCGACAATGTATGTTTTGTATACCATTTTCTCCGGAGCTCATATATATTTCCTTTAATACTACGAGAGGGCGCCCCATTTGACATCATTTTATATTAATTTCAAACTTTTCAAAATTGAAAATTAAAAACATTTTATTTATTTATTGTAAATGACCTCTCGCGGCCCACCTGCAGTACCTTGGCACACACTTTGGCAATCGCTGATCTAGAGAAAGAACTCCGGCGAAAAAACAGCACAGAGCAGCAGTTACCAGAATTAAGCGGCTCTTCACCCACCCACTCTGTAGATCAGCTCATCCTCGATGGGGTTTTCCTTTTTCTTGGTGGTGCTGTACATGCTGGAGGGTCTGCGCACAGCTTTCTGTCTAACGTGACCTCCTCCTCCGCTCGGAGATTTCACTCTCCTCTTCACGTCGTCTGGCGACTGCAGGACGTCTGACGGCTTGACGGCGCGCAGTCGGAACGGACTCCCCCTCACCGGTTGCTCGTACAGCAGCAGGGAGAAGGTGAATTCTCCCTCGGAGCGCATGGTGTAACCGACCTCGTAGGTGCCGTTCTTGTTGTCCACCACCTCCGCTTCGGTGCACACTCCGTCGGCAGAGACGATCTCCGCCCTCAGAGCGGCGTTGCCGGTCTTCACCAGCTCCCCGTCCTTGTCCTTCGTGGTGACTGTGACAGTGGTGTGCTGGCCGACCAGCGTGTGCCGAAGACCTTCGCCGGTGGCGACGCTGGTGTGGCCTACAGTCCCGGTCGTGATCAGGACGCCCAGGTTCTGAATGGAGCGCCTCAGTCCATCGGTCTCCACCTGGCATTCCAGGTGTCCGTTTTCGTGGGGATGCTCAGGAAAGGTGTGGCGTGCCAGCGCGCTGACCCGCTCACCCATCTGCTTCTGGACCAACAGGACCTCGGTGGCGCTGCCATGGCTCAGGGCCTGCTCTGTGAAATTACAGCTGCTTTGAATGTTCTCTTTGCCCTGAAGCAGAGAGGTCAGCTGGGCTTGGAGAACCTACGAATGTCAGAAGACAAAAAGGCCGACAGTCAGTGGAATTTGTACCCAGAACATATATATGTATATACATATATATATTTATAAAATCGGAATTATCTCAGACCTTCTGCTTAGTGCTGCAGATGTTCTCAACCTCGGTGATCAGAGCGGTCTTGCGTTGGTGCAGAGCCTTCTCCAGCTCGTCGAAAGTGCTACTGATCTCAGTCACTGCCTCGTTTTTCCGCTCTGTAAGCTGCTTGGAGATCTCGTTCACCAGCTCGATTGCAGCAGTCAGCTGAGGTAGTCTGCCAGACGAATGCAAAGGAGACAGACGTACAATTAAACTTTCAAATGACCATTTTCAAACTGCCAAAGATCTTCCAAATACAATCAAACCCAACCTGTTGCGCACAGCATCCAACTGGTTTTTCAGCGCCGACTTGTGCTGTTCCAGCACGTCCCTCAGCGGAACCGTCACGTGTTCCCTGTGTTCTCCTTCTGTACACTCCAGACACATGGCGGTTTCGCATGACTCGCAGTAAAACTCCATCACCTGCAGATGGTGCAGTGGCGCACAAGTCAATGGAACATCCTATGTATTTCTACGAGTAAACATGCTTACAAATTCAAAAAAGACGCTGTGTAACACCGTCCGTGTGCTTACCTTGCCCTCGTGGTTGGGGCAAGAGAGCGGCTGACAGGCCGTAGCTGCGCTGGCCGACTCCAGAACATTACAGGCCTCGGGTCGGCTGCACTCCGGGTCTCGCTGTAACACCTCCATTAGGTTTGTGATGAAGAAATTGTTCTGCAGGGCTGCCACACCCTTCTCTGGCAAGATAGAGGTCTGTCTGCATACTGGACAGGACAGCGTCAATGACTGCGGGGGGATGTAGTTCTGAAGGCATCTGCGGAGAGACAAGAAGCAAAACAGGTTTTCTTAGACTTGCTGAGGAGGACAATACGACTCTGGTCCAAACAGTTTGGCCCGTGTACGACGGAGAACAACAAATTCTTAAAATAACTGCACGACGTGTCACGAGTGGGAGCGACAGAGTTGTGGAAATGATGGCTCGCTGCCAACAAAGCTGCTCTTTAAAAGAATGCAGTCTGTTTTATTGTGGCCACGCTAAGTGATTGATGCCTCACATCACGCAGAAGCACTGAAGATGAGAAAATATTTGGCATGAGCGGTGGGATTTTGGGTCATTACACATTGTTCCAAATGTAATGTTAAAATATTGCTTGTAAAATACGTTATGGCTCAAGAATTTCATTACATACTGCGTTTCTCCTCCATTCTCTCTCATTGTTTTACTGTTTATCTTTCCACTGCCATGTTAATCTCGCCGCACTATTTAAATGCATTGAATGAAAGGGGGTGTGCAAAGGAAGGACGTTTGACGGGTTGGATCGGGGCTTACTTCTCACAGAAGGTGTGCAGGCAGGGCAGGACCTTGGGGTTGTGATAGTGATCCAAGCAAATGCTGCAGACCAGGAACTGCTTGTCTATCTGCCTGACCACGGGGCTGGTGCTGCCGGTCTCGCGCTTCGCCATAGTGAGGGATATTCAGAGGGGACACAGAGGCCGCTTGAACTGCACACACAGGGAGGGGAGAAAGGACAGAAAGGTCATGAAAGCCTCGAGGGAACATTTTTGCTTAACCCTCCCTCATGAGCAAAGGAAGAAATGAGTCACAGTGCCGTTAACACAACGAGACCTCGTCCAAAGCCTGATGGTATCTCATGCACTCCCTCCCTTATTAAACCGGGTTTGGTAAGATGAGCGTATGATTCTTTCACAAACAACGTGTCAGTCAGAGGTTGTTTCCCTTTAAAAATGAAAGACGTATGAAGTTACTGAATTGGAGAAAAATGAACATGTGATAATCAACACCGGGGGGCAAAATCTTAGTGACATTGATGCGGTTCAGGAGCCAAAGTGTTTTTACAGCGATGCTACATAGAGAAATACATGAGTGTGTGTCAAATATGCAGGTAACAAATATTTTTGTAAACATTTCTATTGTTGAATCCCAGAGCCTGTGGGTGTTCTGTTCAGATGGTGGCTTCTGTTACATGAAGTTATATCACTGGGTCAGGTACAGATTATCCGAGTGGGCCGATGACATGCTGCACATCTGTCACATTTTACATGAGCGCATGAGGGATTACATGAACAGCAAAAACACACCGTTTTGATTTAGTCAATAATTGCTGCTTGTAAAACGGCATCAATCTGTATTTCAGGTTCAGTTAAGTTCAGCCCAACCTTTGGCCTAGTTAGGTAGTTAGCTTGTTCGTATTGTGACATTACAATGTATTCTTTTCCCAATTCAGTGGTACAGAATCAGAAACCATCATGGCTTCTCGGTTTCATTTTTTTCCCCTCCACAAACCGTCTTCCAAACCCCTTCTGTCAGACGACTGAGACACAACATTGTAGAACGCGCGCCATCATCTTAGTAGTTTTCACTTCATTTCTGCTTCAGTTGTCGCTAAAAATGTCAGCCGGGCATCGTCCTGCAGTGCACATTGCACCGTGCCTCCACTTCCACTAGATTTCTTTACAGATAGATGGAATATAAAAGTAGAGGGCTTCCATAAAAATTCAAGGAGTGGTGTCAGACTGAGGGTGTGTACCATCGTCATGTTGAATTACAGTCAAACGTATCGCTCCGTAGAAACGGCGGCTGTCCTGGAGAGACTGCCACGCACAGATGTTATTCCCTTTATTTATTTAGCAAGACCATTGAGCAACAATCCTCCTGATTACGTTCTTACATGTGGACGAGAATCATTTAGCGCTAGAAATACTCAGTTGCTTCATAAAACACAAAGAAAATCTGAGAACTTCTGGTTGGCTGATTCAATGCCGCAAGCTGCCCTCTCCTGCACAACGCAACAACACGGGAAAGAATATCTGAAACAACTCTTCACAAACAAAGTGTGTCCAGACGTTGTTTATATGAAGTGGAAAACTGTCCCGCGAATATATGAGTGGCTGAATGAAAGGGAACCACCCCGTTTGACCTGTTTCCACTGCAAATAAACTAAAATCAGATCAGATTTGGATCAGAACGTAACGCATTATCAGTAACTGTGAAATATCATTCAATATCAGTCACTGATGATATTGTTATTTGTAAGTTTTGAGAAAAGATCCAGTTTAACAGAAACTCGATCAAGTGGATAACAATATGGATTCAACACAAAAACAGAACAAATCTAGGAGAGTAGTTTGCACTTTATTTAACAATGAATATACTCCATTCATCCAAGTTAAGACATGGTCTATATCCAATTCATTCTAGAAAAATACACACAAACCTTTCCTTATAAAGGAACGTCAGCTCCAGCATTAACTCTGCATGCGTCACAGCTCTGGGACTGTACGCTCCTCCAGCCTCGCCTCATCTCTCATCTCATCTCCCAGCGTTCCAACAACGCGGCTTCGTCTCCCCAACTGCTCCCTCAGTGGGACCTGGGATGAGGCTGATCAGGCCTGCACATCACCCGACACACAATAACAGCTACAGGCCTCTTTTCTTCGAGTAACGAGAGGAAAGGGGAAGCTTCAACACGTCACTGCCTAAAAATTCATTTCCTTGACGTCTGGTTGGTTGGAGTTCAGGTGCCACCTGTCTGTCTGACAGACTGATGTCTATATAGAGATGGGGGGTGGGGTATGGTTCACAATGAATTGGGTTGCCTGTGTCCCATGAGCAAGCAGGCCTCAGAGGCAGCTGTCCCGCTCCGCAACACAGAGCAGATCTGACAATGGCATTCCAGATCTGCTCAGAGCTCACTACCCCTCGGCTCTTCCCCTCCCCGCGTGGTTTTTCCTTCTTTCTATTGTCCTCCTCACTCTTCTCTCTCACGCAAAAAAACACATAGATGCGCTCATAGCAGCATCAGCAGGCTCGATCCAAGCCCCCCGAAGTCTTGCAGATTGGGGTTCTCCTCCCTATGTGACGGCTGGGCCTGAGGAGCACGGAGCTCTGCGAGGCCTTTCAGCCGCTCGGCCTCCCGTTGCCGTCTCCTCTCTAAAAGGCCTCCCCTCCCTTTAAATGGACTCGGAAATGCAGCAGCTGAACAGTGACATCAGGAGGAAGCTTGTGAAGCCAAAGCCTTCAGGCTCCTCCCAGTTCGGGTGGCTAGATTCTCCCTTTAGAGTTGCAACCATACAGCCCCCCCCCCCACCTTCCCTTCCTTTCCTCCCTTCCTCCCTCCCTGCGCGTCAGTCCTTCTCTCAGCAGCCCTCCTTGGCTCAGTTTCTCCCACTCACCTCAACACAGAAAGTGGATCCCTTAAAAAACAGTCGCTCCACCGCAAAACGCATTGAATTACCGAACAAATGATTGTTAAAATACATTATCTATCGCAGCCTAAATACATGTAACAATGCATTCTTATACAGGGGTGAGAATGGGCTCTAATATATCAATAGTGTAGTTTAATACAAGCCTGTAAAGTACAATGTTCCGCATAATCCATCAATTGTGGGATTCAAAATGGCTTTGAGACGTGCAGTAATAATGGCAGAGGAGTGCAGAAACATAAATCAGCTGTGCTCTGTAATGTTTGAAGCAAAGCGTTGTCACAGGAACTGCATGATCAGCACTTCCTATGAGGTCACTTTTTTAGTTAGGCAGAAAATCCAGCGAATGTGAATGTTGCTTTCTACATTGCACAGCGTCCCTGTCCACTCTCACCCTGCATCACAGTTAAGTGGCTTAACGTCGTCCTGCAGGGTCAAGCCCCGTCTGCCATCTGGATTAGCGTCTCCCAGACTCTGATGACACCAACACGTCCAGTCAACTCAAATCCTAATCCCAAATAGCAAACACCTCATTCCACTGCACATAAACCTGGCCTGACGCGTGACTCATATTCTATTGCCATCGGTAATGCAGCACAGAGCAGTAGCCATTTCTCGCCCACGGACCAGACTACGAGGAGTTCTTTTTTTTTTTCCTTGAGGTGAGCCGTTTGTGAGCCAAATAACTCCTTGACTTCTAATATGAATGGGTTAACTACATTTCGGCAACACGACCTCACATTTAGAGAAAACATTGCTCTCAGCCGAGCAGCTCAGATTTCGTGCCCTGCTTTTCACCGCTCCCATCAAGTGCTTGTTTCTTTTAGTTGTAAACTCGGACCAGAGAGTCCGATCCAAGCCGAATGCTTTCGGCCGACCATCGTTATTATTTGGATCATCTTGGCTAACTGGGACGTGGTTCTAAAAAGAAATGTTGCAATTGAGGGCTTTTTATAAGGCTTTCATGGCTACAAATTAAAAGTGACCAAAGTCTCCAGGTCAAAGATCTTGAAGATGTGGTCTCAACTAAAATGGTCGATTAGGCCAAATATGAGCACATGCAACCTCACCCATGAAATATTTAAACTGATGTTGTACAAGCTTGTATTTTTGTTACATGTTTACTACAATCCCATCGTTGCGACACGATTGCCCTGAAAGTTAACAAACTTAATGGTGACTACTCAGGCCTGCAGGATGTTTGCACTTGGAGGGCCACACAAAGCAGTAACCCTGCGCTTCCTCTTCCGCTGTTTGAGCAAGAGACGACCACCTTTTCCTCAAACTGCGTGCCGCATTTTACACCCGTGTTACTGTAATTGCTGTACCTGGAATGGATTATTCTCACCATTTGTTTTAATAATTTTCCTGTGATGTCTTCTATTTGTGTCCCAGCAGGAAGGACTTTGGACTAAAAGACTTCAGACTTCAAACAGTTTTAGTTTTTTTTAGCATTCAGCTGCGTGCTGGACCGGTAAACACAGACAAAAGTCTCAGTAACCTGAAATAGGAAGTGTTGGTTGGCCCTCAATGATGTGCTGTCCAGATTGTGGTTAAATTTAGACCCTTAGGTTTCCATCCAAATCTGTTGTGCATGTGTCATTATGCAGTAATTTCTCCTGCCTTTACTATGCTATAAATCTAATGATCTAATGAATTTGATTAATTATATTTTGTTTAACAATCAAGGGAGCAGATTGTAACAAAGAAGTACCTGCGTTTGACTGAAAGTGAAAGAAGACAGTTAAATAAACACAAGCATGTTTCGTATCAGTGATTTTAAATGAGCAGCAGGGATGTATTATCACCCACAAATGACATTTCTAATACACCATAGGTAGTAAATCAAAAAACAAATCAGAAATGTGTGATCCTTATGCCCATCTGGAAGGTAATTCGTTTCCCAAGCAGTGATAATCCAACTAACCTTTGTACTGTTTAGACCACACGGCCGAGGTAAACCTGAGAAATCTAGAAAATCCAATTTCTGAAAGTACATGTTTGTGTTTTGAGAGTGTTGTGGGGCCAGTGAGGGTTCCTGGCTCTACGATGACTCATCAATCATTACTCACACGGCACAGAAACCGCTGCTCCTCAAACTAACAAGCTCCCCGGACACGTCACTGCATAAGTGCTGCAGAATTTAAGTATATTGGCAAAGTATGTGTGCACACCTTGTGCAAACACACAGGAATCCGACTCCCTTTTTTCCCCTCTCAATGTGCTTCCATTAAAAATAAAAACAAAAAACTGGAGACATGGACGAAAATTAAAAAAACACCAACAGGTTTGGAATGTACAGAAGTGAAGAAATAGGTTTAATATTAAATATGTTTGAATATTATATAAAATATATATATAAAAAGACAAACAGTAAAATAAGGATCCTTCAGTAGACCAACGTTGCAGCTGATGACTTTCATGTGCTTTTGTTCGAGGACATTAGATTGATGAGATCTGACCCCAACCGACATGACAGAGAGGGGTCGCATCATGTCAAGTACAGCAGTCAGCAGAGCTCTTAATCAACACTGACACAAAAAAGCTCTGCGTCCCTCCCAGTGAGCCCACCATCGCAAAGCCTGGCAAGAGACAATGCAGCAGGCATGCAGCGTGTCTGCAGGCACAACATGCAGTGCAAATTAGTGCTGCAGCCTCCCCCCCCGCGACCCTCATCCACCTGCAGTCAGAGCTACATGGTGACGCCACGCCTCGCACATGTTATGTGACTGCATGCTTCTTCGCTAGGTTACGTTACGGTGCACTTGTGGTGCATCATCAACCAGTGGACGGGAAATCCATTTCATGAGAATTAGCTATATGACCCATTGATTATCTGTTGGGGGAAGGGATTTGAAATGTATTACAGGATTTCACTTTTTTAAAACGTATTTCTCTTTACACACATAGGCCAATGCCAAATTAAACAGTACAGTTAATAACTGCACTTCAGGGCAGTCTTTATTGTACTGCGAGGGAACTTTGGTTTTCTACAGGCCCTATCGTCACAAGTCATAAATCATAAGAACATTTAACGAGATGGAAAATTGGAAATTCAAAACGGAGTCAAACAACCCATTTTTTGTTTCAGTAATTTGGGGCTCGTACCATTTGATTTCAGCGCGTGGGTTTAGAGAGAGTAGCCTTTGAAACAGGTACTGCCCCAGGCGTTTACTATGCTTATTTTAATGAGCACAATAAAACCTGGAAATCGAGTTTCTAAACCAATGACTGGAATGATCCATCATTCCATTTATCATTTGGTTAGATCCCAGTCTTGAAAACACAAAAATGATTTCATTGCGACAATAATAATAGGGCCAAACTACATTTTCATTTAAACATTTATGCATTCAGAGGTTCTACATAGTCATTGCTAAATGCTCCAACTGCCCTGTTCCTGTCCGCCTACAATTGCTTAAAATGTTAATATTTACAAAGACTTATTGAAACAATTCAGAGTGTAGTGGTGGAGAAAACATAGCTGCCATTCCAGTAGCAAAATTGTACAAAAATGAAAAACATTGCTCATAATCTGCGTCTCCCAAGTGCACTCATACGAACTTGAAAACCCCTGATGTCCCGAGAGAGACAAGTAACCCCTGCTGAGCATCTGCCCTCAGGCACAGCACCCAGGACAGTCTGCAGCCTCCCTGTGACCCAGTGCAGACAGACAACACAGCACGACCAGCCAAACTGCCTCGTCAGCTGCACTCACCAGGCATCTAAAGAGAGTTTCACACTAAAATCACCCTGGACTCCAGAACAAAAGGCCTAACCAAAAAGGAACCACTGAGCCATCTGCTCACAGTCCAAGGAGGTTTGACAATGATGCATTGGCTTGTTGCTGCAGCACAATGCAACACGAGCACTGGCAGGGTGACACAAGCAAACAACACGCTGATTCACATGTTCCCCCCCCCCCCCAAACCCACTCATACATATTCAGAACCAGAGGAGCACGGATGCATCGCTAATCCTCGAAACAAAAGAGCACGCATGCAGAGTGCAGCGCAGATGCCCACCTGCTACAGAGCCGGCGGGCTGCAGCCTGGGAGCTAAAATGGAGAAGCGTGTGGGCTGGTTGAGGAAGCGAGGAGGAATCAAGGGAGCACGGTTTCAAGTGCAACAGTTGCTCTCTCAGGAGGCTCAAAACACAACGCTTCTACTCCACGTTTTTGTATATGTCAAATGAATACATACAGAGCGGGCGTGAAATTGACCACATGCTAGGATGATCAATTATTTAATCTTCACCTCATCCCAGTCACTGGGCTGTATTATTCAGGGCTCCACGTGACGGCACAAACAAAGATGCGGTAGTAGAGAACGGGCAGGTTGTACTCACGTAGATACCGGGCCGCGGCGCGGGGCGGGGGGGGGGGCACGGGGGACGTGGGGTGTCAGCCTCGCAGGCCGCTGAGGGAGCTTCCCATTGTCAAGAGTCTCTGTCCTCCGCCACAGAACGCTCAGGCCGGCCGACGGAAGGGAGAAGGGCAGGGTCCGTCTGGGAGAAAGAAGGGGACAGCGAGCAGCAGCAGGCGAAGGGGAAAGGAGGAGATTAGGGGCGGGGCTTACGCGCAGCATTGGTCAGGGGGCCGGTGGGAGGAGTTACGGGTCCCGGCAGCATATGGACCGAGGGGGGCGGGGTTATGCAAATGAGCCGAACTCTCAGGAACCGACCGCGGGATGGAGTCTTTCTGGTGCAAAGGGGTTTGGCTTGCGAAGATTCCGCCCTGTTGTCTTGAAAACGACAAAGGATGCAGTTTATTACCCCTCCGCTTCAGAGTGTCGTGTTTCGGAGTATTAAGACACAACACATGCACCGCTGAGTGAAATAACCGTGCAGTTTCATCTCACTCTCCCTGCATGACAACAGTCTAAAGGGAAATTGTGACAGCAGTGAGATGAGGGTGTCAAAAAGGCAGCGGCAGTGCTGCGAGATCTCGTGTGGGTGATACAGTTATTTGGGTGGAGTCAGGTGGTGGTGGGATGGCTGTTTAGATCAGGGCACTGGACTAGATTTTTTATTTTTTTAATCTGTGCGCAGACGGGAACAATCTACAATGTATTGTATTCTGAAGGTTCATCCGTGGGGGGTGGGGGATGGGCCAATGCTCCAGCTGTATTCTTATAAGGAGGATGACAGAACGCTGTAGTGGCAATGCGGTGTAATGTGGATGCACTGTGTGGGGCTGCTGGGGAGGTGCAGGCCGTAGGGAGTTGGTTGGGGGTGGGGTGAGGGGCAAACACGGTCCTCTCTGGGTTTTTATTCTGGTTACCATGGAGACTGCCTCCATCGTAATTTAGTCAAGACGGCTGTTTTAGTGTGGCAGCGGCGGTGAGCAGGTCACACAACAGTAACTCTCACTGGCAAGACTATAGGAGACAAAATAGCGTATTACATGGTTTGTATGGTGGAGATTACAAATGTATTTAAAAACATTTGTAACATATTTCAATCAGGCTGAAATGATGTACAATTAATTTATCAAATCATATTTTTATTTATTTATTGGGGCTAACCTTTATGCGGGAAAAACAAAATCAGCGATTGCTCATAGCAACTCCAAACCGCATAGTCCAGCAATAACCTCAAAATAAATACCTAAATAACAGCCAAATTAAATCTTCGACAGACGGTGGTGCGGCAGGTGAATCACATGTCTTACAAACAATATTAAAAATACAAGAAATATCAATTCGTGGCTGGTATGTTTCATCATCAAACATTAATTCTAAACTTTGTGAAGCTGTATACATTGTATTTTTTTTCCTATTTTAGAATATAATTTAACATATAGTGTAATAGTATGCTTCTACTGTTGATAGGTGGAAAGCAGAGTTATCTTGACATCTGAGCTCAAGCTATTCTTACTCAAAAATATGTATTCATACATATTTAACACGCTCACGGATTAGAAATACAAACAACTTGATTTAGTGACCATGTATTTTTTTCTCTCTGTAATTATGATAGCTTCCGCCTTAATCTTATACATATTTTATACCAATAAAAAAGACATAATTTTGATACTCCATATGGGCACTAAGCTGTGGCCTCAGTAGCTCTGTGTATCTGCTCCAAGCCAGTGGAGACAGTGGGGTTGTTGTCGATGATGTTGGCATTTGCACTAGCAGAAGAAAATGAATGGAGGCTGGTTCCTTCATATCATAAAAGCCTTAACCCTTCATTTTTGTTATGATTCAGTGACAAACTTTCCATAAAGTCCCATCATTTTATGCTTTCGTCTTGCACATTAATTTACTTCTGCAAGGTTGCAAATTTCAACCCTGACAAAGAAATGGCTCAATACCATTTATCCAAACGATGACAAGCAATGCTGTCATTTCAAGGTCATGTCCAGGAATTAAAAAAAAGGTTTAATAGCGCGTGTGCTCACTATTCTTTCGTTTTCTAGGCAGTGTATTGCACGGAAATCCACAACACCCACACTTCCTGAGCAGAGGTTTACTGTGTTACTGTTGTGCTCTGCCACCTAGTGGTTCAACATAAACAAGGACCTTCTTGAACCAAAAAAAAAAATACATTTTGTAACCCAATTCACCAATATTACAAACAGTGGCTTTAGCACCAGCAGTGGTAAACGAATGGCGGCATGTTCGTTTACATTATAGAACGACACCAGCGGTTGGACATTTAACTTTACAACAATGAAAGCCTACAACACAAAGAGGCAAAAAACGTCTGCAAGTATCAAAATATAAAAACAAAAATTCAAACCCAGATTTTCAACTTTCTGTGGTCTGATGTTAAATATTAATTTACTTTTTCAATACAATCTGCAACAGTGCACTTTTCAGTCATGACAAAGAAATGACTCAGTATTTCAGCATTTATCCAACTGAGAATTTCATTTCAAGGGGATATTAATATTCTGCAAATGACAAGTTTAACAATGCTTAGGCTCATTGTTCTTTAGTTTACCTGGCAGTGTATACCGTGCATGGAAAACAACGACAACACCCATATTTTACTGTTGTATTCTTCCACCTAGTGGTACAACATAAAACAAATGGTCTTCCTAAAAAATAAAAAAAAGACACTCTACAACCATTTTGCAAGAACAGTCTCTCCATGTCGTCATGTGTTCTTTATCAATTAAAAGATAAGAAAGAAATTGAAATTAAATATAACAATACATTATAACCAAGGATAATACTAAAGTTACATGAACTGGCCTGACCTTAAATGCGATACACGTCAATGCTCACACAGCAGAATCGTTGCCCTTATGGACGGTTTCCTTGCTGTTCTGCACTTTGCTCAGGTCTCCAAGGCGTTTTAAAAAGTAAAAAAATAGTCCAGAGTTTTCAGTTTTCTGTGTACTTTTGGGGGGAATTTCTTCAGCATTACTTTGCATGGGACTGTCCGTGAGCTCCCCCGATTCCCCCACTTCGTCTTGCGGCCCATGAGCATCACCATCGGAAACATTCGGCTTGCTTGGCTTTTCTTCGGAAACAGAATTCTGGTCTTGAGCACTACATTTTTGAAAGTTGTGAGATGTTTCAGTAAAATCAAACACTTGTTTTGAGGAACCTTCTGCTGGTACTGTCCCTTTTTCCCTTTTGGCAGAATGAGGAGTTCTGACTGGAGGCAGAGCAAACAGATCGTGTTCATCCCCCTCAGTTTTAGGGACTTTGGTAGGAAGAGTATGGCGGCGGCCAAGGTTACGTTTGGAGGAAGTTTGAGGATTTAGCAAAAATTGTACTAAATCATTATTGGTGGGGTCTTCAGGATATCTATCCGTTTCTTGATCAACCGTGCGTTGTCGAGGCAGGCGGGTACTTGCACCAGGAGATTTCTGATTTTCCGGATAATGGTCATCAGATGAGACACTACTGCGGCTGTTCTGAAAGCGCAAAACCTTTTTGGATGCTTCACGCAACGTTTGAGCCTCGTCCTCATTATTATCCTGTAGATCTTCCTCACTATCATCAGTGGCAGCAGAGAAAGATCTGCCTGCGGGCGAAACGCCGGTGGTCCTACCGGTCGGCTGTGTCGAATCTGCTGGCTCCTCTTTTCTGGAGATGTTCCCATCTTCTTCATTTTGAATGCCACCTTTTGCCCAGCATTCCTCGCCATCGGACTGATCTTTTTGCGAAAGGTTCTCTGTGAGTTCAGCTGCTGAATTCCACTCTTTTCTGAACATGTCGTTACTCTTGAAACCTCTCAGTTGTTTTCCAGCTGGCAGGTCTACCTTACATGTCATTCCTGATAGGCTCCCCTTGTCGGGGCTGCCAATCGCGGGTCCTTCATAAGCGGAGGAGGGCCTTCCGGTTCTCCTTTGGGGGACACCCTTCGTAAGGAAGTTCTGTAGTATTGACTGCAATGCAACTCCATCCATTTCCTTGTCTCTACTGGAGCAGGTGGCTGTGGACCTACGTTTGCTGGCGATCTGCAATCGCTCTCTGTGTCTGCGCTTCACCTCTGCCACCTCGCGAGCCTTGTTTTCCTGCAGAAAATCCCAAAGTTAATGGATCAAACAAACTTTTTTTTGTATACCTTAATTGAGAAAATAAATAACAGAATGCAGGGTTACCTGCATAGCCCGCATAAATCTCTCACAAAAGGAGTTGAAAATGGAGAAGCACTCCTCCAATTTAAACGTGGTGGGGTTTTCACAGAAGTACTCAGCCACAGAGTCACTCACTGACTGCAATTCCTGAAGATCAGTCTCTATTTCTGCCAAGCAGACTTCAGCCTCCTAAATGGAGCCCAGATAAAAAACATATTAGAACACTGCAATTCACACAAAGTAAGCTAATTTCCCAGACAAAAGGCATCCTCACTTTCAGAAAATCCTCCATCTGCTCCTTTAGGTCTTCTTGCTTCAGGGTGTCCGCTTTGGCAGATTGAACTCTTATTACCTGTTTGTCAAACTCTGCTTCAATTTCACTTTTATTCATTCTAAGAACAAAAAAAAGGATTAATTAAGATTAATGATGGTACAGCAGATAAAAAGCGGGATAACGTATGCTTGTGTCAGATCGTTTACCTTGCTGCAGCTTCAATGTGTTTGAGTTGGTCTGTAAATTTAAGAAGTTCCATATCCACCTTCAGAGCTTGCTGTGGTGAACAGGAAAGTTTGTATTTAAAAAAGATAAAAAATAAAATAAAAATAGATTACCATCCCAAACATATTGTAAGATTCAAGAGAACTCTGCACTGCAACCAGAGTAATAAAAGTTACTTGCCATCACAACATAATGCATAAGATTCATTCCGGGTTTGTTTGCTTTGGTATCCACTAGCTTTAACAGAGAAGCCATTCGGAAGCCAACTGCACTGCCTGCATAGCCCCCCTGTGACGAAATGAAATAATGAGACTCAAAAATGAACAAACCCATAGAAGAGACCTTCAAGGCTCTACCATCCCATATTATACATTACTCACCGCATTCATGTAATTTCCAGTCTTCAGTACCAGCCGAATGACAGAATGGAGATTATCAGACTCCAAAAGCTCTGAAATAAGACACACATGGTGAATTCAAAGTTTAAATTAGTTTACCACTAGGATATTTTTCAAAATCTGTCACTTGTCCTACAAATTTCAAAATGCAAGAAAAAAAAACAACAATACCCTTTCCAGCTGCTGATAAAGTGCCAATGCATTCTTTCATATCATTCATGAGGGGGAAAAACTCCTCCTTGAGCACCAAGCTGCTGAGACGCTCTTCGTAGCTAACAGACAAACATTATCCATCGTTAGCGGACTACTACTGACATTTGACACATGGAATGGCATTCGGACGGCTCACCTGGGAATCTGGACTAGCATTAGCATAAACAGATCGGCTTCGGGTAGAGCGGAGTGGTCGCCCTTAAAGCGGACCAGCTGCTTCTCCTGGCGAAACAAAATAAAATAGCATGGATCCTAAAATCAGTGTTATTTGAATTCAAATCGCAAGCAACACAATTGTCAGATCGACAGATAACTGTAGAAATGTGGGAAAAATATAGAAGTAGCAAGTACCTCCCCTTCATCTGGCAGCAGCTTGCAGAGCTCCCTCAGTTTTCCAGACGCAAAGCTGAGACTACTTCCAGATTTGATTTCTTCAATCATCTCCTTTACAGGCCTGTGCAACGTGGTGGAGAGACAAATGGGCTTGCAGTTATCTTGATGTTTTTGTTGAGGGTTGGGATTGCAAATGACTGGTGTGACTTTGACACATTTACTTAGTTTGAAAAGAAAAACGGGCTGCTGATATCAACAAGCCTCTGCCTGCTCGAATAGTTTTCCAAAAGTAATTAAACAAATATGAGACTTGTTTGGAGAATAACACAAGAAGTTTGGAATAGTTAAGACGATTGTGTTGGAATATAAGTTGTTTTGCTATTGCAAATGCTTAATTATGTATAGTATGTTCTCCATTTCCATATAGCATGCCAAATAGCCTTGGGCAGTACATTTACCACTCATACATAATTTATGATAGTGTTACTAGGACAGTAACCTGTGAATAGTCAAACAGTGTACGTTAGACCTGTCAGGACATGTCGGCTTTCAAAACGTTGTGAATATGATGCAGTCGTGTTGCTGATTAGTCTGCTTGCCCCATCCTGTGTTTTACTGTGGAACATGACACGATCATTGCACACACCCAATGAGAAACAACGCTGACTCACCGTTTGAATTGCTTGAGGAAAATTCCAATGTTCATGCTACTCTTGGAGCTCAGGATGGAAACCTGGGAAGGTGAAACGGACACAAACATAATCAGCTTGTCAGTCGCTCATATGGTTTAATTATTATAGCAGTGCATTTAGTATCGTGTCCCTCAGCTTTCCAAAAAGACAGTTGATTCCAAAGGTTAAGGATTCTTGGAGTTGATTGTATTGAGCAATCGGGTCAAAGATAGCGTTTCCTCAGTGGCGCTCTCAGAATATCTCTTAGAAAATGGGACAAAGTAAAAGTTTGAAGGGTCGTGAATAGATATGTTTTGGATTAAGACGCAACCTTAATTGAATGGCAAATAAGTTTAAACAGCAACTTGAATGCGGCGCACAGCGCAATACAGAAGCAACTTCAATGCAGAGCACAAGTAGAATACGATACAGATCTGTGAGGACACGGTTATGCCGTCCTTTAGTAAACAGATTGAAGAATAGTGAGACTCCACCCTTCTATTGAGACAAGCAGCACATTACTGCTTTCTATTCTGGTGATCCAATGTACAAATGAAATGATAGTTATTCTAATGTCACAAGGGAAGAGATAAGAAATAAAACTAAAGTTACATTTCCTAAAAATCACATGGAATAATTGTATTTGGAATAAGCTCAACAGAAGAGATCTAAATCCAATAGTTTGCTGCCAGGTCTAAAGAAATTCTCTTCATATCTCAGCATTACACAACAAAAACATCAACCATTTCAATTAACTGCTACAAACTTTAACAAGGTTAAAGAGTTATTCATGGATCCTGTGGGTGGAGAACTCACCGGAACGCCCCCCGAGGCAGCAGTCGGCTGGCCCCTCAGACTCTGGCGTTTCAGGGCCTTGAGTTGTTGCTGGTTCTGCTTGTGGCTGAACAGCTCCTCCATGTGATCAGTGTCCAGCTCATATTCCCCATCGGTCTTATCCGCGGTCCAGATGTTGTGCTTTCCTACCACGCTGTGTTTAGGGAGGGTTTCCCAGTTGAAATTGCGCATCCTGGAGCGCCGGAGCGCTCCCTTGGCAATGGAGCCAGCGCCATGTAGTGATAGAGGAAGGCCAGGGGCTGGAGGTGGAGGAGGAGGTGGTGGTGGAGGGGGAGGAGGTGGTGGTGGTGGAGGAGGAGGAGCGGGAGGACCTCCTTGTTGCATTGTTTTTCAAGGAGCGCTCAGCAGGTTTGGGGAGCAGTCATCTCCGTCCCAAAGACAGGATTAAAAGCTATAAAAATCTGCAACTATGAACTACTCCAAATGAGCGTCTTCATGGAACTGTGACTTTGTTGTTGTGCCGGAGGGACTTGTTAAAACGTTGTTTGATAGGATGATACATCCAGACTGAAAGAAAAATCAGGGTGGGGACAGATTAATACAAAAAGGTCTATGAAACAGTAATTAGTGTAGAATAAAACATTCGCCGTCTCCATTGTAGTTCAAATTAATTACATGAATGCTTCAAGGGTTGTCAAAACCTATGAAAAGCACAACAATATAATCTATAACGCGCTTTGGAATAGCAATGTGGAAGTTATCCAAAAACTATCAAAAACCTTGCAATTTGTTGTGGGATATTAGTGGCTATATTATAACAAGTATACGTGAATAGCTATTGAGCATATATAATGTATTCTCTTAGACGGAGTTAGTCACTCTTGAAACTTCAATAAACTTCCAGAGTGACTAATTCAGTCCAAGAGGATTTACACAAAATAAATTTGCAACATGCAAATAAAATGTACAAATTTAAAATAATAAAGGCTACTTGTTGATTGTAAAGGCCTCGTATATAATTCAGTATTCAACTCAATGTATCCAACTTAATCGATAAATTAACAGAACCAGCATTTGCTTCAAAGTTTGTTAACACCAACGTCAACATAAGGAACTTAAAACGACAACACACCTCTGTTTTAGATTCATCTGCTGCCTCGTGATCCGAATGTCCGTATTTTCTCTCTCCTTCTTCCTCTTTCTCCGTCGTCTCGTTACCTGTTAAAAAACTTTTGCCCGACGACGACCCGCAGAGCGCGAGCGAAGGTTTGTCGAAACTGCGCGAGAGCGCCGCGCGCCCAGGTGTCATGGCCGCCCACTCCTTCCCCGGCGCGAGCGGCTGCGGGATTAACCCGTTATTTATCTGGGCTTGTTGGCTTTTGTTTGTGGCCACGCTGTTTCCTGTCCAACTGTCGTGAACTTTTAGTGAGCTGGCTTCGCTCTTCAGAGACTCTCCTGGCGAGAAGAAAAGGCTCTGCCTGATAGCGGCATTGATTTGTGAACCTGGAAATTATACCGTGTAAGAAAAACACTTGCAGTGCATTTATTTATTTTTGTCAGCCACATTAAATTAAATAGCAAGGGAATAATCAGTACAAACGAAACCAAATGCTTTAGTTATTAATTAAGCCATTATCGAACTTGCACTGCAAATGTTTTTCTTTTAATTTTTTTATTAGGGCTGGGTTAACTCTGTCGTGTCCTGCAGTAGCAGCAAGCACTTGAACTCTGACCCAGAAATGATACAGTTTCGATCGCTTTTGTACACAAATAAGTTGTCTACAACTGTTTGAAGATTTCTAAGATTAAGGCAATGTCTTACAGGTTGCAAAGATACTAAACAACTGGCTGCTCCACATACAAATTAAATTTCAACTCTGTCTTCAGCAGGAATGGCTTTTTCACTTTTGTGTCTTATCCCTGTGAATGTGTATCAAGTGAAGTAGTGAGTGACAGTAGGGAGAAAACACATCATGAGGGTGAACGTGACACACCAAAACGGAATAAATCGGTAAATGCAAACGTTAAGATGTGATGTGTATTTATAAAACGTATCACTGATATTTATCAGAATATTACAAGTCCACCTTTGACCAATTAACTGACTGAATGGGCAACAAGAGACATTGACTTTTCAATGTTGTTTTTTATCATAGGAAATGTGTTAATACTGGTGAAGTAAAAGAATCAGTTTAGTGTCAATAGAGCTGTAAGCTACATGGTCTTCTCTATATGGTCTAATGCTTCTAATTCTTCTTCGTAGAACTTCTCAAGTTCCATCAGGTTGGATGGGGAGTGTCGGTGCACAGCCATTTTCAGATCTCTCCAGAGATGTTTAATCGGGTTCAAGTCAGGTCTCTGGCTGGGTCACTCAAGGACATTCACAGAGTTGTGCCGAAGCCACTCCTTTGTTATCTTGGCTGTGTGCTTCGGGTCGTTGTCCTGTTGGAAGATGAACCCTCGCACCAGTCTGAGGTCCAGAGCGCTTTGGAGCATGTTTTCATCGAGGATGTCTCTGTACATTGCTGCATTCATCTTTCCCTCAATCCTGACTGGTCTCCCAGTTCCTCCCGCTGAAAAACCTCCCCACAGCATGATGCTGCCACCACCATGCTTCACTGTAGGGATGGTATTGGCCAGGTGATGAGCAGTGCCTGGTTTCCTCCAGACACGACGCTTGGCATTCAGGCCAAAGAGTTCAATCTTTGTTTCATCAGACCAGAGAATTTTGTTTCTCATGGTCTGAGAGTCCTTCAGGTGCTTTTTTGCAAACTCCAGGTGGGCTGTCATGTGCTTTTTACTGAGGAGTGGCTTCTGTCTGGCCACTCTACCAAACGGGCCTGATTTGTGGAGTGCTGCAGAAATCTTTCTGTACCCTACGCCAGATCTGTCCCTCGATACAATTCTGTCTCGGAGGTCTACAGATAATTCCTTGGACTTCATGGCTTGTCAACTGTGATACCTTATATCGACAGGTGTGTGCCTTTCTCAATCATGTCCAATCAACTGAATTTAGCACAGGTGGACTCAATCAGGTTGTAGAAACATCTCAAGGATGATCAGTGGAAACAGGATGCACCTGAGCTAAATTTTGAGTGTCATGGCAAAGGCTGTGAATACTTATGTACATGTTTTTGTCCTTTATTTTTAACAGATTTGCAAACATTTGCAAAAAACAGTTTTCACTTTGTCATTATGGGTTGTTGTGTGCAGAATGTTGAGGAAAATAATGAATTTAATCCATTTTGGAATAAGGCTGTAACATAACAAAATGTGGAAAAAGTGAATACTTTCCAGATGCACTGTATGCGATTGTATTGTCATTGTACATCATTAATGGTGCATATTATATACCACATGCTGTGATTGTCTTGTACCTAATCTCTGAAAGGTTCCCATATGAAACTGACAGATCCGAGTTGAAGCCACAGTTAGGTGAAACAAAACATCCAGCAGATTTTATTAGAAATGCAAAAGACGACAAAGATAATTTACTGAATAGAATGGAAAATAAATGTACGTAACAATTAATGCTATGTCACAAACAAAACGGTGAATAAATAAAAGAATAAGAAAAATATGTGTCTACATTCTGTCCTCGAAGACATTTGAAATTGAAATTGAAATTGTATCATGTATGTGGTATCACATGGATCCAGTAGTTCATGTTTTCCAATGCAAGGAATACAAGGATTAGATGTACACAGGCTCCAAATAAAACAAACCATGCTCTGTGTTGCATGTAGATTTCTTTATGATAGGCCAGATGTTTGTATTTATAATCAAAGCATACAATATATTATTTACTTGATGCTGAGTCGGGAGTGTAACATCTGCTTTTGAGGCTTGTTTAATGTGTAAACATGACAGAAACTTTGCTGCATTCATCGGGACAATATCAAGCTTTACAAAATAGAAGATCAAACTCATTTTTTTTTTTATATTTGGTTACAGAAAATAACTATATTCACTATATAGGTTTTCCCTTCAACGCGTGTGAACTACACCACTGAGCAATATTACACGCAAGTGGGATAACTTTAAAAAACGTATGCTATATCCTGATGTGTTGGATCTAAATCTGTAAAACTAATTTTGAAAAATGTGATTAAGTCATGCACACTTGAGGAAAATGAATACAATTTCAGAGGATATTTCATACAATTGTTGACATTATCCCTTTAATTTGCTAAGCTGATTTGTGGAATTCCCTTAATGTGATATGCTCTGAAATAGAAGGTAACACTTTAGACAACATAAAAAATAAAATAAAAATAGTGTATGTGCAAAATTGCTATTGGATCTCCCACCGATAGTAGACTCTACTGTACATAGATTAGAAGTTATATTCATTTAAATGATTGTGCAACCTAAATAATTAGTAACAAAGGTCTTTTTGTAAAGCAAAAAAAACGTAATACCAAAATTGTTTTACCGTCGATGTAATACAGGATTTTGAAAAACACAAGATGTCTTGTTTTCCGTTACCACTGACCGTAATCAATCCTTTCATGTACTCCTTTATGAATTTCAATCTTGTCCATCTAAGTACAGTGTGAGGATTCTCACGGACCAGCGAGTCGCTGTGCATGTCAGACTGCTGAACCCTGAGCGCTCTTCACTGCTCCTCCAACCAGGACGGCTTGTCGGATCCTGGGGGCTTTAACTTTACATTGAACTGTATTAAAGTTTGTTCCAATTGCTCCTGGTTGCCAGCAAAGTAGGCTGAGATTGCATTATGGAACAGAAGCAGCTGCTTGTGCATCACCTTCACCTAGAAGCAAAGAAGAGTGACATATTGCCATTACATTACAGACAGTACAGACCATGGACAATCAGAATGACATTTCCTAACTCCCGCGGATTGCATTCCTAAGATGTTTTCCCAGGTCGGCGTTTAAGCCTATTTTAGACATGATAAGTCGTACAAACGGATGACATCCGCATGCCTATTCATCTGTGACCACACCCAGCAACACTGATGCATGTGCTTGGGTGTGGTCAAGCATGAGCACTGTTGCACCTGTGACCACATTCGCCACACAGTCCTGAAGCACACCCATACGTCACTGCAGCAAAAGTTACCCCATTGGATATGAGCAAAAAAATTAATATTTCAGGAGGTATCGAGTTCCTGTCTAATTTGATATTTGAAAGAAAATAGAATACCACAAACCTTGTTTTCCTCCAGGAATTTGAGCTTGATCATAACGTCACTACGCAGCCTTTCATATTTGTCTCTGTGAATCTGGTAATCATGCTGAGCCATCTCAATGCGGACCATGGCCGCTGCATCCCTGTGGCCCAAACTCAGCTCCTCCAGATCAGAGCGATACGCATCAAACTCGAGTCTGCGAGCAAAAAAGGTCAAGCCTTCTCACCTTTTCCAGGTTTTCAACCTAAAGGAATTAAGCTCATATTCTTCAACTCCTAAACGGGACGTCAGGGTTTCTTACCTTGTGTTTTCATACAGCTTAACGGTCATCAGGGTGTCCTCCATTGTTTTGTTGACCAGGGTGTCGACGCTGGACACAAAGAAGTTGATGGCGCTGAGCAGAGCCTCGCCATTCTTACACAACAGCTTCTGTGTCTCTGCGTTGTACCCAAACTCGTCCTGTAGAGAAAATAATTAGTTTCACCTGCCAACTTCTGTTCGAATAGCAAGCGGATCTTTTTCTCTGTTACGGTACCTGCAACTCTGGGGACTTCTGGCTGAGTTCGGTGAAGGTGTCTCCTAGAGCCTGTTGAGTCTGCACCATGCTTAGAAAATGACTGGTGAGTGCAGTGGCCAGTCTCAGGATTATTTCATACTTGTTCTTGGTCTCCCTTAACACGTCAATCTGAGCCTCCAGTTCCAGGTCTACCGTTCTTGAACCTCTGCCAAACCTCTCTGAGAACATCTGCTTCGTGCACTGCATAGTGGACATACATTTAACCCAACATGAAGAAAATCTCATGACATCACGTTCAGCTTGACTGAAAAGAGTAATAGACATATTGCACAATACCTTGTATGTGTTTATGCCCCATTTCTTTACACTGTCCAATTTCTCCACCGCCACACCCCGAGAAACTTCCTCAGTGGAATTACCACTGTTATTGTTTGAGGAACCTATCAGAGAGAAAAAAAAAAAACAACGTCCATTGACACACGCCGACCAATCAAAGAGCAGTAATTGCGTTGGTCATGACAATGAGTGAGTGGACATGGTGATGATCCTGGTGATACCTGGATGCTGGATTGTGTGCTGGGCAAGTTGACTGGCTGCAGATGCGCTTTTAGGCAAGCCAACACCCCTGGATTTCATGCGAATGTCTGAAATGAGCATGTGATGATGTGAAGATGAGAGGAAGTTGTGAAGTATGTATCAAAAAAAGGATGCAGTTTAGATAGGCAGCGGAATAGCATACTGAAAAAAAAATGTTGTTAGGCACTGTATGAAGGAAACATTAAAAGAGTTAAAGGGCTTTGGAAATAATCCACCATGCAGTTTTCTCATGCAGAATAAAAAGATTTATAAAAAGATGAAAAGGGACTTCATGGGATGAGAAGCAGCATCAAAACAGTCACCCAAAGTGCATTTTACAGTAGAAAATAGGACATTCTTATTAGACTTCAATAATTTAGATCCGTATAACATCAGGTTAGTGCACCCCTAAGTCGGTAAGCTGCCAAAACACTTGCTGAAGCCGTGACCTGAAGAGGTACAAGCAAGGTTGCATTAAACTCCCTCAGTCAGGCAATATCAATATTTCTTATACACGGTCAAACAGAACAACGTATGAAGGAAAACCACAAAGCGTCGTCAGACTACGCAGCCACCTGGTCCTGGTGCAGGCACTCGTCTTCTGTCCAGATACTCAGGGTTGAAGCGAACTGCAGGCCCTAGGGAATATGGATGTTTGTAACGTGAACCAGGAGCCCTATGGGTCAGCAACACATCATGGAATGCAAGGAAGAAAAGCGCTCGGTATGGTTTCTTTGAGGGGGAGAAAGTATCAACAACATTGACAGATATCTCGCATGGCAGTCTGCACAGCCTGTTGGGGGAGTGGGGTTCAAAACACAGAGTGGAATGAACATGGAGCTGCGTTAAGACAGAAAATGCTGCACCTGGGAAAGTAATTGGGTGATTTATATTGACCAACAACTCTGCTAAACGTATTAAACTCAGCATGACTTAAAGCTACGGTAAGGAAACTATTTTGCAGCAAAAATCGTATCTGTACTGTGAAGCATAAACAACTCTGTTTTTCTAACAGTACCTTTGATGCTGCTGGTTGGAATGATGCCCCCTGCAGGTCCTCCATAGCCTCCTGACACAATGCTGGTTTCATTCAGGTTGGGTCCCGACACCATCACCTGCTGCAAATCCTGATGGATTTAAAAATAAAGGTAATACATGAGCTAAATTCATTAATATTACATTTAGGGACCCAGAAAGCTTAAATATATATATCGGTTTTAAGTATACTTTGCCCAAAAATGGTTCTCATCATTATTATTATTATTTTAAGTCATGCTGCACACAGATCACACAAAGAAATCGCCTATGTGCCATTTTATCATAGAATTTGATGGCACTCAGCATTGCTTTCCACACACAGACATAATGGTCATGTTGGTCTCATGCAAAGGCTCATAGGACTAAACAGTAATGCCAAACTTACTCCTTCTCCATGCTCTCAGGTCATTATTCCCAGTAGCTGGGGTTGCTGGTGACACTGGTATAACCTTACAGCTGCTGCACATGGGAGCAGGCCCTTTGCATGCTATGTATCAGCTAAGCCCTAACAGCCTTCAGTCTTAGACCAGTGGGTCATGCGTGGAAAAATACAACAACAAACGAAACAGATTCAATAGAAGGACACCGTCGGTGAGACGGTAAGAGAGGTGTCTCACGGACCTGCTCCAGGCTGTCATCCTCTGTCAGAGTCCCAGTGTCGCCATTGCTGTTAATGGGGATCTCCATGGTAGCAGCCTTGCTCATGATGCTGTCTGCCATGATTCAATGTCTGCAAAGACAGCAACAAACACTGACACACAAAGATGGCATCGTGTTTGCGGTTTGACAAAAAATAAAATAACCATACAACGTGCACCTCGACACAAAGAGGCGCCTTGCTTTAGATGGATGCTTACGTGGCTGGTTAAATGTCCGCGGTGCTGATGTGGCTGCAGCGGAGTGCTACAGCTAACTCGTCCCCCACCGCCGTGGCGAACCTGGAGTCCAGGCGTCCGGCGGACAAACAGGCAGTTTGTTTGTTTCTGCGCAGACAAACGCAGAACTTGTTCCAACCGGAAAACCACCGTTATCTTTAGTGATCATTTAATGCTAAATCCATTGTTATTTTCCCTCTGCATCCAGCTCGCCAACAGCTTTGGTTCTTGTTCTTCGAAATAAAAGCGTGCGTGATTTTTATACCACTGCGAGCCACATAGCTTGGTTTTAATATCAAAAACATTTGAGTAAACCGTACTTTCTAAACCGTTTAGCGGCTTTTACTTGACGAATGAGAGGCTTCCAGCGCATACCGTGAATTGGTGCTCTTATTTTGAAAAAGAATACCTTTAGCGTGGTATCATCGTCAATCCTCCCCAGCTCCGTCTTCCACGTCGTGCAGTGCTGACGTAGCTTTGTGCTTAATCTGCAGTAGTACCATTCCGCTCCTGAAGATGTCCCTATCAGCCCACTGACATACAGTTATTACTCCGTTAAGGCGCTGGCCCAAAAATGTTGTTATTATTAATAAGAAGAAGGAAGGCAGCTTCCTGTTACCTTGATTGCAATTTCTCTTGATTTCAAACTGTATAAATACGGTCGTTTGTTAGGAATCGTAAAATGCCTCGAGATAGACCTCACCATGGCAAACTGACACTTCCAATGATTTGCCTGATTTGTTTCAATCAGGGATGCAAGGAAAGTAATAGTCTCCAAATGGAGCTTGGGTATTTACTCCTGGTCTAACACAGAGAAAAATCTGTTGAAAATGTTGAGAAAACCTTTCCTCCCTTGTTTCTTACTCTTTAACATCATCCACCTCATACCTTTTTAGGCTTCTGCATATGACTAGATTGACCATACCCAAGATCAAAGACATTTTAAGGCAAATGATGAAACTCGGTTTTTCATGATTTCTTCTCAGTCAAAAGGTTATTGGACCAGCAGATTTGTTCTACTTTTGATCTTGATCTTTTCTACAAAAAAAATTGTAGAGCATTGCTTTGAACATTTACTGCACCAAACGCAAACATAACTAGGTACATGTTAAAAGAAGATTCTTAGACATCCAATTCAGAAGATACATTTTCTAGGTTGATGTAACATGTAGGTTGTTGAGGTCGAAGCTTACATCCCTGATATATTCAGGTGTCCGTTTGTTGTCCTCATAGCATCAATCTATTTTGTTATTTGATGATCTGCTTAGTACTGGTGACCATACGCAACGATGCCTATGTGCTCCACATTACTCGATTACAGGTATATCCCAATACACTTCGTGCAGGACACCAGTCCACCTGGTAAACCCTTGTAAAGGGGATTCTATATGCATATACTACAAGTCTTGTCAATCAAAATACTGCCTCGACAGGAATTTAAATATTCCAGTGGTTTTCCGGGCTACTTCAGTCCTGCTTGGTGAGTGAATGATTGTATGGGCATGTTTTGACTGACTCAACATCCTTTAACTCTGGTACCTTTGACCTCCACATTATTCACGGCCCAACAAAAAGCCCAATGTTAATGAACCATGAATCTTAAAAGCAGTTGTTTTTTGGAGTGCAGGTAAAGGAAATGATGTGCGGCAGTAACCAGCATTGCACAAGACTGCAGGCTACAATTAGGTACTCGAGGCTTATTAAAGTGGACTTTAATCAGAAATTCTGTCATGTTTCAGCTTCATGACAGTTGTAAGCTATAACAAGAGCAGTGGTGGGGAAATTGTACCGTTTGTGAAGCTCTCTACTCTTTCCCTTGGATAGACATTTTAAGACACCACATTCTCACACACAGGAGAATGCAAATGTCGTGTTGCATGAACATTTAGAACAAGACCTAAGTAAATTCTAGAAGATCTCTGGCAGGGTCTCCTCTGAGACTTCACTGCCCGTCACAAAGTCACCGCTTGCGTGTGAGAGAAGCGTGAGACCTGAAGCGGTGTATCCTTTTTTAGGGTATAGTTGATCTGGTTTTTAATGATCATTAAGCACACTTCCAGATGTTGGAAGGTAAATCCATCCCCACACAGCAAACAAGAGTACTGCAGTGAGACAGAGAAATCCAGAAAAACATGGCAAAGCAGCGCTGCCTGCATCCTTACTCCATGGGAATTACAAACGACGCTCAGGTTTTACATTAAACAGCATATGGAAGTCATTTTATACAGTGACTCTAATGTGCTATTTCAAACAGCCTGTCAACCTTTTTTCCAGTTGGTGTTTTCCTATCAATGCTCTCTCAGAGAAAAGAGCATTCATCATTGTAATGGAGCTTTGGATGCCGTGATTGTCAATTGTAGAATGTCTCAAAAGACAACACATAATCAGGACAATACATGTTTATGGGCTTTTCCTGGAATGACTAACAGTATGAAAAGTTGAGATATGGATCTGTGGGAAATGATGCATGAAGGCTAAATTACATTGTCTAATGATAGTAAACATAATTTTGACTGGCAGATGTGTTTCCAAAAGATTCAGTGTTGACTCCTTGACTCATTTTCTCTGCTGTCCTCTTGATTATGAAATGCTTTCATGTAGGAAAAAACAAAGAACTGTCAAAAAAGTATTTATATTATTTAAATCAAGTCCTAAACACTGAAAAAAAGTATGTTGTTTCTTGGAAAACACATGTGAAACCATCCTAACACTTAAGGATAAACAGTGACAATCTTCATTATTTCGTAGGTTTCGTGCATGAGAAGCTTTTTAAAGTACATCATATTTTGTTTAAGACAGATTTTTATATACAGTTTTATACACACAACTTCTGCAACAGTGAGCACATCGACCTTGAGTATATGTCGTGAGAGCAATGTCCCCCAAAAAATAGTCTTTGCTATCACTCCAATGTTTCCAGTTAAATTCACCTGTATAATCAGAGGGCCAACCAGTGAGAGGCCACAAATGAAATAAAATGCCAATTTAAGAATCGTAAATTCCACAGAGCTTGTTGGCATTTTCACTGGAGTGTTAAAGGAGTTGTTAATTTTGTTTTCACGAAGGGTAGCTTTGGTTGGCACACAGAGGCTGCGGTCAGGAAATGCACGAAAGGGCAGTTGTTTAGTTGCTTTATACTGTTTACTTACTTTGTCACGCACGTTTTGCAGGTCTCCAATTTGGCAATGTGATTCATTGTAGTTTCAGAGGTATTCTCAAACCATGAATTACCGTGGGACTGCCACGTGAAGAGATTTTAACTCCACGTTAAACATAACAATATACACTACTACCATATGAATAAAACCTAAACACAGCGACTTTTAAACAATTCCATAATAAGGATGAGAAGCTATAGTGACTATAGCATTTCTTGAAATCAATCTATGTGAATGAAATATTGACAGAACAAACTGGGGATACAGTCTATTGGGCAACAAATGCAGAGCATCGTCCACGAGTGGCTTTCATTTCCAATGGAATCCTCCTGGTTTATTCTTCTTTAAAAATGTTGTCTGTCTGAGTTGTTGAGGAATCCTAACTATTTGAAACCTTGCTTGATGAACAAGATTTGTTCAGGCTTGCAACATTTTGCTCCTCTCTATCAAGTATTAATGTAGAAAAGAATCAATAGCAAAACGAGTTAAGTTTGGGAGTCTGAGAGTTGTTAAACTTCTGCACAAAAGAGATAAATGGATGTAAATATGTAAAGCACAGGGATTGTTTTAAATCACAAGTAGGCTAATGTGGAGAATTTTTCTTAATTTAAATACCATCAAGTGAGTGTGGTGTTTCTTGGAAAATACATCTGAAACCTAGATTACATTAACATAAATTATATAAACAAAAGAGTAAAACACTAGAAATGCACCACTGGAGCCAATGTTATTTTCTCCAATTGCGTAGAGGTTCCATTGGCAACAGTAGAGACGGTGTAAAAGATGCCCTATTCTCCAGGAACTTCCTCTTTTCCCCCCTGGGGGATGCCAAAAGTGCTCTTTGGGTCAGCTGGAAGACATATTCACTCCAACATTTAAGATCTCCAGCAGGTCCACTTTGAATCAGGCAAGTCTGGTACCGAATATCGATGCTTGATCAGAGTAGTCATTTGAATAGGCATATTAGCCCTAAATTCAATGAAAATACAGATACAGGCACAAAATGGAATAACTAATACTATAAATGTGGGGTGCAAGTCAAATTTAGAAATAATAATTCAAATGTTACCATTCCAAAGAGGTAAAATAAGTAAGACTACTTCTGCTAAATAAGTACATAAGTATATGAACATATTTACTAGCTTAGCATCATTCCAATGTGTGTCAGAGGATCAGAGGACAAGGCTGCTTGGAGTTTCTTGGGGTCATTTAGGGCTCATCTTTAAAAAATGGAGTAATGTCAAAGCGAAATTGTTTGTCTGCAAACAAAGAAATAATGACAACGATTTGGAGGCTTAAGGGAGTTTTGAGGTCTTGTCCATGACTAAATTAAGAGCAGAGGAGTTGACACTGGTCCCACTGATAGCTACATAAATGCTCATATTGAGGAGGTTGTGACACCGCTTGAAGAACCATCACAGTCCTGATTATGAATTTACAGGAACCAAACAGCACATACTCCTTCGGTTCATCACGCAGGATGCTTTGAGGAACTTGGTAGCAAGCTTTTTTCCAAATCACAAAACACATGTATACAGGATTAACAGTCATGATGCTTCAGTTAGCTGAGAGGATAAAAAGATTGACATTCTGCCACCAAGAAAGAAAAAGAATCCAATTAGTTCTTTGGAATAGGTTTGACGATGTTGGCTGTGGTCTCACTTCCAGCACATCGGTTGAGGCTTAGTGGGTAATGACACCTGGTAAAAGCTTAATCACATTTATTGACAGTATGGGCACCTCCATCCACGTTTGGTAATACGAGGGTTTTAAAAAAGATGTCATACTGACTGAGATTTACACCATCCAACAATATCCAGAGCATTAGTATTTCAAGCCAGCTCTCATCTGTTGTAAGAATTTTAACTGCACCACACCATCTGCCAAGGGTATGTGTCAAAACCCTCCTGAATCTTTCTTCTCTGCTTCCTGAGCAGGAAGCCTGACTATCGCGTGTGATGTAGAGCATAAAAAAGACATGTCTTGTCGCCTGACATATAAGAATTTGAATACCTTTTAAACACCATTGTTCAAATGGTATAACATATATAAGTTCATAGTAATTTTCGATTGTCATGCTCATATGTTGCAGGCCAGCTACGTTTTTATTTAAATTTAAAAAAAAGAAGAAAAACAGCAAGTTTCACACAAAGAGCAAA